GAAAGCAACAGCCAAGGGAAGGCAAGTGAAAGCAAGCAACAGCCAAGGGAAAGGCAAGCGAAAGCAAACAACAGCGAAGAGAAAGGTAAGCGAAAGCAAGCAACAGCCAAGGGAAAGGCAAGCGAACGCAAGCATTAGCCAAGGGAAGGGCAAGCGAAAGCAAGCAACAGCCAAGGGAAAGGCAAGCGAAAGCAAGCAACAGCCAAGGGAAAGGCAAGGAAAAGCAAGCAACAGCCAAGGGAAAGGCAAGCGAAAGCAAGCAACAGCCAAGGGAAAGGCAGGCGAAAGCAAGCAACAGCCAAGGGAAAGGCAAGTGAAAGCAAGCAACAGCCAAGGGAAAGGCAAACAAAAGCAAGCAACAGCTAAGGGAAAGGCAAGCGAAAGAAAGCAACAGCCAAGGGAAAGGCAAGCGAAAGCAAACAACAGACAAGGGAAAGGCAAGCGAAAGCAAGCAACAGCCAAGGGAAAGGCAGGCGAAAGCAAGCAACAGCCAAGGGAAGGGCAAGTGAAAGCAAGCAACAGCCAAGGGAAGGGAAAGCGAAAGCAAGCAACAGCCAAGGGAAAGGCAAGCGAAAGCAAGCAATAGCCAAGGGAAAGGCAAGCGAAATCAAGCAACAGCCAAGGGAAAGGCAAGCGAAAGCACCCAACAGCCAAAGGAAAGGCAAGCGAAAGCAAGCAACAGCCAGGGGAAAGGCAAGCGAAAGCAAGCGACAGCCAAGGGAAAGGCAAGCGAAAGCAAGCAAGAGCCAGGGAAAGGCAAGCAAAAGCAAGCAACAGCCAAAGAAAAGGCAAGCGAAATCAAACAAGAGCCAAGGGAAAGGTAAGCGAAAGCAAGCAACAGCCAAGGGAAAGGCAAGCGAATGCAAGCAACAACCAAGGGAAAGGCAAGCGAAAGCAAGCAACAGCCAAGGGAAAGGCAAGCGAAAGCAAGCAATAGCCAAGGGAAAGGCAAGCAAAAGCAAGCAACAGCCAAGGGAAAGGCAAGCGAAAGAACGTAACAGCCAACGGAAAGGCAAGCGAAAGCAAACAACAGCCAAGGGAAAGGCAAGCGAAAGCAAGCAATAGCCAAGGGAAAGGCAAGCAAAAGCAAGCAACAGCCAAGGGAAAGGCAAGCGAACGCAAGCATTAGCCAAAGGAAGGGCAAGCGAAAGCAAGCAACAGCCAAGGGAAAGGCAAGCGAAAGCAAGCAACAGCCAAGGGAAAGGCAAGCGAAAGCAAGCAAGCCGAAGGAAAGGCAAGCGAAAGTAAGCAACAGCCAAGAGAAAGTCAAGCGAAAGCAAGCAACAGCTAAGGGAAAGGAAAGCAAAAGAAAGCAACAACCAAGGGAAGGCAAGTGAAAGCAAGCCACAGCCAAGGGAAAGGCAAGCGAAAGCAAACAACAGCGAAGAGAAAGGTAAGCGAAAGCAAGCAACAGCCAAGGGAAAGGCAAGCGAACGCAAGCATTAGCCAAGGGAAGGGCAAGCGAAAGCAAGCAACAGCCAAGGGAAAGGCAAGCGAAAGCAAGCAACAGCCAGGGGAAAGGCAAGCGAAAGCAAGCAACAGCTAAGGGAAAGGCAAGCGAAAGAAAGCAACAGCCAAGGGAAAGGCAAGCGAAAGCAAACAACAGACAAGGGAAAGGCAAGCGAAAGCAAGCAACAGCCAAGGGAAAGGCAGGCGAAAGCAAGCAACAGCCAAGGGAAGGGCAAGTGAAAGCAAGCAACAGCCAAGGGAAGGGAAAGCGAAAGCAAGCAACAGCCAAGGGAAAGGCAAGCGAAAGCAAGCAATAGCCAAGGGAAAGGCAAGCGAAATCAAGCAACAGCCAAGGGAAAGGCAAGCGAAAGCACCCAACAGCCAAAGGAAAGGCAAGCGAAAGCAAGCAACAGCCAGGGGAAAGGCAAGCGAAAGCAAGCGACAGCCAAGGGAAAGGCAAGCGAAAGCAAGCAAGAGCCAGGGAAAGGCAAGCAAAAGCAAGCAACAGCCAAGGAAAAGGCAAGCGAAATCAAACAAGAGCCAAGGGAAAGGTAAGCGAAAGCAAGCAACAGCCAAGGGAAAGGCAAGCGAATGCAAGCAACAACCAAGGGAAAGGCAAGCGAAAGCAAGCAACAGCCAAGGGAAAGGCAAGCGAAAGCAAGCAATAGCCAAGGGAAAGGCAAGCAAAAGCAAGCAACAGCCAAGGGAAAGGCAAGCGAAAGAACGTAACAGCCAACGGAAAGGCAAGCGAAAGCAAACAACAGCAAAGGGAAAGGCAAGCGAAAGCAAGCAACAGCCAAGGGAAAGGCAAGCGAAAGCAAGCAACAGCCAAGGGAAAGGCAAGCGAAAGCAAGCAATAGCCAAGGGAAAGGCAAGCGAAAGCAAGCAACAGCCAAGGGAAAGCCAAGCGAAAGAACGCAACAGCCAAGGGAAAGGCAAGCAAAAGCAAGCAACAGCCAAGGGAAAGGCAAGCGAAAGCAAGCAACAGCCAAGGGAAAGGCAAGCGAAAGCAAGCAACAGCCAAGGGAAAGGCAGGCGAAAGCAAGCAACAGCCAAGGGAAAGGCAAGCGAAAGCAAGCAAGCCGAGGGAAAGGCAAGCGAAAGTAAGCAACAGCCAAGAGAAAGTCAAGCGAAAGCAAGCAACAGCCAAGGGAAAGGAAAGCAAAAGAAAGCAACAGCCAAGGGAAGGCAAGTGAAAGCAATTAACAGCCAAGGGAAAGGCAAGCGAAAGCAAACAACAGCCAAGGGAAAGGTAAGCGAAAGCAAGCAACAGCCAAGGGAAAGGCAAGCGAACGCAAGCATTAGCCAAGGGAAGGGCAAGCGAAAGAAAGCAACAGCCAAGGGAAAGGCAAGCGAAACCAAGCGACAGCCAAGGGAAAGGCAAGCAAAAGCAAACAACAGCCAAGGGAAAGGCAAGCGAAAGCAAGCAATAGCCAAGGGAAAGGCAAGCAAAAGCAAGCAACAGCCAAGGGAAAGGCAAGAGAACGCAAGCATTAGCCAAAGGAAGGGCAAGCGAAAGCAAGCAACAGCCAAGGGAAAGGCAAGCGAAAGCAAGCAACAGCCAAGGGAAAGGCAAGCAAAAGCAAGCAACAGCCAAGGGAAAGGCAAGCGAAAGCAAGCAACAGCCAAGGGAAAGGCAGGCGAAAGCAAGCAACAGCCAAGGGAAAGGCAAGCGAAAGCAAGCAACAGCCAAGGGAAAGGCAAGCAAAAGCAAGCAACAGCTGAGGGAAAGGCAAGCAAAAGAAAGCAACAGCCAAGGGAAAGGCAAGCGAAAGCAAACAACAGACAAGGGAAAGGCAAGCGAAAGCAAGCAACAGCCAAGGGAAAGGCAGGCGAAAGCAAGCAACAGCCAAGGGAAGGGCAAGTGAAAGCAAGCAACAGCCAAGGGAAGGGAAAGCGAAAGCAAGCAACAGCCAAGGGAAAGGCAAGCGAAAGCAAGCAATAGCCAAGGGAAAGGCAAGCGAAATCAAGCAACAGCCAAGGGAAAGGCAAGCGAAAGCACCCAACAGCCAAAGGAAAGGCAAGCGAAAGCAAGCAACAGCCAGGGGAAAGGCAAGCGAAAGCAAGCGACAGCCAAGGGAAAGGCAAGCGAAAGCAAGCAAGAGCCAGGGAAAGGCAAGCAAAAGCAAGCAACAGCCAAGGAAAAGGCAAGCGAAATCAAACAAGAGCCAAGGGAAAGGTAAGCGAAAGCAAGCAACAGCCAAGGGAAAGGCAAGCGAATGCAAGCAACAACCAAGGGAAAGGCAAGCGAAAGCAAGCAACAGCCAAGGGAAAGGCAAGCGAAAGCAAGCAATAGCCAAGGGAAAGGCAAGCAAAAGCAAGCAACAGCCAAGGGAAAGGCAAGCGAAAGAACGTAACAGCCAACGGAAAGGCAAGCGAAAGCAAACAACAGCAAAGGGAAAGGCAAGCAAAAACAAGCAACAGCCAACGGAAAGGCAAGCGAAAGCAAGCAACAGCCAAGGGAAAGGCAAGCGAAAGCAAGCAATAGCCAAGGGAAAGGCAAGCGAAAGCAAGCAACAGCCAAGGGAAAGCCAAGCGAAAGAACGCAACAGCCAAGGGAAAGGCAAGCAAAAGCAAGCAACAGCCAAGGGAAAGGCAAGCGAAAGCAAGCAACAGCCAAGGGAAAGGCAGGCGAAAGCAAGCAACAGCCAAGGGAAAGGCAGGCGAAAGCAAGCAACAGCCAAGGGAAAGGCAAGCGAAAGCAAGCAAGCCGAGGGAAAGGCAAGCGAAAGTAAGCAACAGCCAAGAGAAAGTCAAGCGAAAGCAAGCAACAGCCAAGGGAAAGGAAAGCAAAAGAAAGCAACAGCCAAGGGAAGGCAAGTGAAAGCAAGCAACAGCCAAGGGAAAGGCAAGCGAAAGCAAACAACAGCCAAGGGAAAGGTAAGCGAAAGCAAGCAACAGCCAAGGGAAAGGCAAGCGAACGCAAGTATTAGCCAAGGGAAGGGCAAGCGAAAGAAAGCAACAGCCAAGGGAAAGGCAAGCGAAACCAAGCGACAGCCAAGGGAAAGGCAAGCAAAAGCAAACAACAGCCAAGGGAAAGGCAAGCGAAAGCAAGCAATAGCCAAGGGAAAGGCAAGCAAAAGCAAGCAACAGCCAAGGGAAAGGCAAGCGAAAGCAAGCAACAGCCAAGGGAAAGGCAAGCGAAAGAAAGCAACAGCCAAGGGAAAGGCAAGCAAAAGCAAGCAACAGCTAAGGGAAAGGCAAGCGAAAGGCAGCAGCAGCACCAGCAGCAGCCACAGCAGCAGCAGCAGCAGCAGCAGCAGCCACTGCAGCAACCTCATCGGCATCGCCGCACCACCTCTCCGTTCATCCTCCCACGCATCCACACTCGCTCTCGCGGCCCACTCATAGGCCATCCATGGGGTTGGCCAACACCACCCGCACCCTCCCTTCCCTTCATTGAGGACTCCCATGAGGAGCTCATTGGCGTTCAGCAACAAACACCTTCCCTCACGCCTCTCTACCCGGGCTTCTTTGGCCTCCTCATCCTTGGCATCGCTACCGCTCCCACCAGATTCACTCCGTCCAACTTCCTTGAGGCCATCACCTGCCCCGATGCTGCCAAGTGGATCCAGGCTATCTTTGCTGAATGCGAGGCCTCCATCTCGTAGTTAAGGAATCAATGGTTCCATGGACTGAAATGTTAGTTCTGTCTGGCCGTCGGTTTGCGGGTGATAGGCGGAAGAAAACTCTAGGCATATGCCATATCTGTTCCACGTGCCGTGCCAAAATCACGAGGTGAAATTGGAACTCTATCGCTGATGATTGCAGTAGGGATACCATGCAGGCGAATGACCATGCAGGAGATGAATAGGCGAGATCAGCCATTTTTGTGAGGCGGTCGACGACGACGAGAACCGCGTCGTTACCACTTGGTCCGAGTTTAGGGTCGCTGGGGTGGCTTAAGGGGCCGCTACAGTCCTCTTGACCGCTGTCATGGGAACTTTATCGCCTGGCAGATCGGACAGGCGGCCACGTCTCGCTGCACGTCCATGATCATGTCCGGCCAATAATAAAACCACTGTAGTGCCTTCTGAGTTGTCCCGACCCCGAAATGTCCCAACAAGTTCGAATCGTGGACTTTTTGAATAACTATTTTTCAAAGTAGACGATAGCCTGAAACACGAATTCCCCATGTTCCCACTTTACGTAATAGGCACCTCTCGAAGTCGTAACCTTATGGTGAGCGTTGTTTACGAAAAAAGGATCGGTCAAATATCTATGGGTAAATAGTATAGCGATGGTTTGGGCAGATGATCTAGAGAGGGTGTCGGAGATTTTGTTGGCACCCTTCTTGTACGTGATTCGGTACGTGAAGTTTTACTGCAGTTAATCCAACCAGCGAATCTATCACAGGTAGGAATTCGATTACGCTCGCAGGTACTGTAGCGATTTGTGATCTGTTCATACAGTCACGTCAGCTCCTCTTATGTTGCATCGCCAGATCTTGGAAGTGTGCACGATCGCCAACATTTTTTTATCGTGTACGGAGTAGTTTCGCTAGGCCACCTGTAACTTTCGCGACTCATACGCAATTGGCTGAAGGCCGTCTCCGAAATCCTATAGCAAAATTGCCCCAATTGTGATGTCGCTTGCGTCTGTCACGGCCTCGAATGATCACACGTTTATCGAGTAAGTCTCGGGATACCCGTTTATTGTCAACTGTAACGTTAAGGGGGCATTCGTTAACTCAAACACCATGGCAGTGTATTCGTAACTCCCGTGGCGAGTATGAAACACGGTTTTGTGGCAGTTGTCAGAGAAAAAATGAATCTGATGGTAACCGTTACAAAGCTCGATATTCGGAAAATAGCGAGCTCCTTGTAGATGGTCAATCAATTCATTTGCACGAGGTCATACTGGGCTGAATAAACCCTTTGGCCAGTAGATAATCCCGCTAGTCCCTGTAAGAGTACGGTCCCTTTACACTTCTTCCTCATATGTGCACCATCCCATTCCTGATTCGGTCTTTATCTTATCTTATTTGGTTTCCTATTCTTCACCATCTCATTTGCATTATCCTATTATCATTATTATATCACCGACTAGGCTTGGGATGTACAGGCTAACGCTATCTAGCATTATCCTATCGTAATCCCTTAAAGGCAATAGTCTTGCATGGCTGTATACAGCGTGATTCTATTTCTAGAAGGGTCTATTTCCATACGATAGTAGAAACCTGGTTACTTGATGTACTCTTGAAGTAAAAAAACGCCCTGTTATTGTCGATATTGCAACATTGAGCAAACCTCATTTGATCCTGTGAAACTTGGTTATCTGAGCCAAATGTTTCAGCTCAATACTTAGTCACAGGGGCCCCAAGAGCACGCCGTGGATGGAGTCGAAACTTCAAGTCCTCTAGGATGGACTGCATCGACAGAGTCGATATTTTTGCCATGATGTGCTTTCATTTTAAGTTTCGACTAACCTCGCGCAGTTGCACCATGGGTCCCCTAGGATGGACTGCATCGACAGAGTCGATATTTTTGCAGGGGCAAACGGGGGACTTCTTGCGACATTCCAAGTAGTTTGAAGTTTGCCACGATTCTTGGAGTTACGCCGAAATGTGTGGAGCTACGACTGGCGACATCCGTCCGATGGAGATTCGGTGCTTCAAATCGACCGAGACGAAACGCAATTATTCTGAGCGAGTTCGACTCTAACAGGAACGGACCTCGTTAATCGCGAAATCATTTGTAGCGTCCGATTGTTCAACAACTGACATCGTCGACCGAGAATAACTGCAAAAAACGAAATGACCCAGAAACCAAAAGCAGGTGAACGCGACATAGGAATATTTGAAGATCGCTTGGAGTTTGGACAGTCGGACGGACTTTTACTTCAACGGACGAGATGGAGATTCAAAGCAAATTAAAATTGCTTGCATAACATAAATGCAGCTGAATCGACACCGCTCACATCTTTTGGACAGCCAAAAATCGGATTCCTCAATTTGGTCACGAAATCGGCGCGCTGATCAACTTCGCAGTCATAAATATATAACAAAATCACCTAAATGGTAATTGCTGCAAGCATAAAAATGACAGGGGAACGTCGATCGTCGGATCGGTGCAAAATCAACGACACGAATGCTATGGAGACTACATCATGGAGATAAAATTCGTGACTAGCGACTGCACAATTGACGCATCTTCTGCCCAGTGTCTATCAGAATCTTCTTATCTTGATGAAGTTACTATCTTTGTTTAAAAGATGATCAACATCGACAGGGTGAAGACAAGTTCTCCATCGACGAAAGACTTCTTCATATAAATTGGTTGACAAACTATGGGATTGCAAAGAAATAGCCAATTTCCCTTGCAATATTCCCAAGATCAAGTTGCTGCGAAGGATCGGATTTCGCATGTAACGACGATGTAGCGTACAATGCTGTCACAATACAACTTGAAACAAACTATGGGATTGCAAAGAAATAGCCATTTTTTCTTGCTCACTCTATAGCAACCGACAGTTCTTAGTACAGTACAACTTGCACATCATGTCATCACCATCGTCCACCATTTCGAAGATCGGACACACACGCGCATCTTGAACATCCAACAGCAACAGAAGCATCGGGTCGATCGTCACTACAATCATCAAACCATCCCTACATTTCTATTCAACACCCTTATCTTCACATCAGTCACCTTCCGCTTATGCCTACTAGCACCAGGAAGATCCATAACGCCTTCCATATCCAGGTTCTCAAACCCTATTGGAACCGAACATGCTCTTCATGAAACGCCTACCACCGCTGCCACCCATCAATTAGCTGTACGGCATGTTTCAGTTTGATCCAATGGTCATGGGGGCGTTCCAGTGGCAGTCCAAGTGGCAGGTCGTCAGGGAGAATACTGTATCCGAGAATTGTCGAATCAAACTTTGCTAGGTCCTTAGGGACTGCTGCGCAAAGTGTGTCGTTGTCGGCCGACTAGTCGACGCCCGTCGATTCCTGCAGATGGATGGCATACAGTTCCGCGCCTTTCTTGACGACTTGCGTTAGCGTAATTGCATTGACGTACGTCGTCATCGGCTCTAATCCACACCAGCTCGGAAGTTTTCTCCAGCTATTCACACGCTTCGCTATGCACTTGCCAGTCGTGCAATCGATTTGCGGATTGTGTCGCTGAAGCCAATCTCATCCGAGCAGCACAAGCCGTCGACGGTCGTTGCCAGCCTTGGGGGGCTGAAACCAAAATTGTCACCACACTTCATGCGAACTGTTCGCACATGATCATGTATCGCCAGCAGTGTCGTCGACCAATTGCACGTCGATCTCGAGCAGACATCGCCCCAAGGGTAAGTTAAAAAAATTAACCATCGGTCGATGAATAACGCTATGGCGTGCACCACCACCGATGCAGTTTTTTTTCTTTTTTTCTTGTGGGTTGCGGAGCAACCTATTGCGATCGATCGGCAAAGATTTTTTTTTTCAAGTTTTGAAAAAAAAAACTTGTGAAGTTTTTTGCATCTATTCAAACATATTTTTTTGCATATTCATGCATACGAAACCTCATGAAGTTCACAAACTTACCATACTATGATAGGGAAGTTTAATTCATTAAAGGAGAACTTACAAATATAACACACATGCATATTCAATTTAACATATCACCAAATGCAAGAGCAAGCAGCCCACCAATCAGTAGCTTGATCTATACTTCAAAAGCTTCAGGTGTTGTGACACAAGATCGTTGCCACAACAAACCATACTCTCCCACAATTGCACCAGCGAAATCCATGCGTTTCACTTGCACATAGCACCTGCATGTTGCACACCGTTCACTCCAACATATTCACCTGCGAGAACCTATTGCACCTGCAAAAGTCACCCTGAAATCCCATGCATTCAACCAAACATGCACCCCCCATTTATTCCCCTACGATCCCGTCCTCTTAACAAGCTTAACCGTGTCAATCAAGGCTTAAGGTGTACCGGATGAATGCCTTAAGACAAAAAAAAATGTGCACCTATAAGAATCCTAAACAACTCCCAAAAAAGATCTCATGTGACTCTCATGTGATTCCCGTATGACTCCCGTGTGACTCCCATGGGACTCCCGTATGACTCCCATGTGACTCCGATGTGACTCTTCGGTGACTCCCATGTGACTCCTGCGTGATTCCTATGGGACTTCCATGGGGGCTTTCCATGGGCATTCAATGGGCCTTCCATAGAGGACGCCCCTAGCTAACACACACACACACACACACACACACACACACACACACACACACACACACACACATACGCATGCATGCACGCACGCACACACGCACGCACGCGCATGCACGCACGCAAGCGCGCACACATACACACGCAGACACATGCACATACATACACATATGCACACACACACATATACACAAATACGCACACACACACACATACACACACGCATATACACATAAACACAAAGCTTCTCCAACCGTCATGTTGTAGAAATGGAAGAGGCGGTAGGGTGACGCGCAACAGAGGATAGTTTGCACCAACATGTTGTACCATTTTTGTTTTGCATATGATTTTGACCTATTACCGTAATCCCCCGGATATAGGCGCATCCCTGTATTTGACCCATTGCGCTTATGGAGTGCAAGTGCGCTTATATCCGTTATTTCATTATAAGCGCACCCACATTTTTTAAAATGTATTTCCTATAGGCGCATCACTTTTTGTGCATAAACTTATGTTAAGCGGGGGATTTATATATCGGCGTCTCTGCCGTGCCCCTCCCGAGCGCCTCCCGAACCAGAAGCGCGAGTCTCGCTTACTATGTTGGCTCTGATTGGCTCACGATTTCAGTAATTCCAGGGTGGATCTGGAGGCGGAAACTTTGTCAGCCGCCTTCTCGCCTTTTGTCAACATGCTGCGCTTTGGAAAGACACACGCTAAAACGCAAAAATCGAGAACTACAATTTCACGTGCTCAAATATTTTTTCCATAAAATTCCTTTCATAAGCCATGGGCTTATAAAATTTATTCGATTACAAGCGCATGCCACTTTTGTTAGGTATTTCCTATAAGCCCCTATGCGCCTATATCCGGGGGATTACGGTATATTGTGTAATATAGATATTACAGTACAAAATTTGTGCAAATGATGGAAAACAACAATTGATATTTCCTTTGTTTTCCATCCTTTCTCATGGCATATATTTTTCAATGACAAATATAGGCTATCGCTTCCCCAGCCAAGTGGGGGAAAACGAAAGCCCATGGGCCTTCAATGCCCATACAAATAACACAAAATCACAAAAACTTTCAATTTCTAAGTTCCTAGAAGTGTAGATTACCCTTATCATCTCCAGTTCGCTTGACTTCACCTAAGGTGTAGAGTCAAAGAACCGTACTTGAAATGACAAGAGCATGTTTTTTTTTTTTTTTTTTTTTAGAATTACAAAAAAACATTGTTTATGTGCAATTGATTGATATTAGATAACAACAGATCATGTATCAACACCAACAATCAAAGATGCAGGAATACGGGGGTAACATCATGGGGAATTGAAACCATTTGTCAACAACAATGCTGTTGGATATTCTTGATGAACCTTGAGGAGCTATGTTAAGAAGTAAGGAATTAATGAAAATATGAATAGAGGGGAAAAGCATGAATTGTGAAACGGAAATCGACCACAAATAGGGAAGAAATTGAATGTACTATAGTGGGAAGGTTTAGGAGATGGCAAGTTGAGAGTGGACTTGCAGGATGAAAAGAAGTACTTCTAGTTTATGAGGGTGTGAAGGGGAGGAGAGGAGAAGAGCATGGGGGGAGGGGGTGAAATGAATACCCTACGCTGAAAGCAGCCCATCACTATGCTAGTTTCTTGAAATTGAGAAAACTGA